TTCTGAAATTTCTTTTTCGCAGTGAAAAGGCTACATATGACTCAATTCCTCTTCTTGGCTAAGCGGATTTTCCATTGGCCTCATCACCTGCGAGCCACATTGGCGGTGGCTGTCACTGGACAGCGCATTAATTTTCCAGTTTTTTGTCAAATCTGAAACTTGGAACTCTGTGATGTGGCATTTAGGATTACAAGGGATTTCGAGCTCAATATTTGACGATGTTGTCTAATTTTTGCCAGAAGACTTGCAGTACCTTGATGATGCTGTTGGCTTCTTGAAGAAGAGCAATCAAAGCTATGTTCTCCTAAGAATAACAAGTTTTCCTTTAGTTATAAATTATACTTAGATTTATTGGATGTTTCTTTCTAAGGCTTAATAGAATGATTTCGAGCTTTGCTTTGAGAGTTGTAGGTGCAAAGAGTGCAGCTATACGTGAGCTACTTGCTGGTGGTGAAACTGTTTTTTTGCCTTGCTCATTGGCACTGGTACGTTGCTGATTTCCATTTGACTTATATGCGAATGCCGGTTGGATTTCAATGCACATTGTGTTTTACTTTTATATCCATTAATTTTGATTAAGAATATCAGGCCCAAAAAAAAGAAATCTACTAAGGATAGCCATTTTTGTCTGGAAGCCCCCCCCCCCAAAAAGAAACCGTGCCTTTGCTGATAATCCTGATGCATATAAAACGACTTCGTTTGAGTTATCAGCAGCAATGTAGCAGTTGAATGAATGGAACATAACTGGAAATACGGGCCAGTCCGCGGGTTGCGGGCTCACCCACCACAACCCTCAGGTTATGCGGTGCGGGTTGGAGCAGACCGCATTTTAGCAGGCTGGAAAAATCCCAACCCTAACCCGTCACAGCGGGTTGGCAGGCTAGCCCGCCATCTTTTTTTTTTTTTTTTAATTCTCAATTTTCAAATCTCATTTTATTTATTTTTTAAAATAATAAATGGTGATTTAAAAATTTAAAAGCAATCACAAGTATAAATGATGTTTAACCACATTTAAAATAGTCAATACAAATATAAAATAATACATAATAAATATTTTACATGATTAACATTCAATATCAACTCATCAAGTGATAAATTTTATAATTTTTTTCATACAAACGCCATGCTTGATATAAAACACTATCTCTTAATAAATTAAAAGTGCATTTATCTAATTTTTTTTTTAAAGTTCATTTACCATGTTTTTTTAAAACACTTTTTTGCTGTAATAAATATTGTTTTATATGTAATTGTAGTTATTGAAGTTTTGCTATAAATATAGTATGCTTATTTCTAAAAAATATTTTTTGTTTACATATGTATTATGTAACATGAAAATTGAAATGTAAATAAGAGAAGAAAATTTTTAAATATAATAACATATTATTTATATGAAAAATTAAAAAAAAAAGTGGCGGATTAGGCAGGCCAACCGGCCAACTTACGGGTTAGCCCGCCACAGCCCGCAGGTTATGCGGTGCGGGCTAGAGCAACCCGCACCTTGACAGGCTGGCAAGATGCCAACCCTAACCTGCTCTTTATGGTGGGTTGGCAGGCTGGCCCATGGGTCCCAACCCATATTCCCGCCCTGCCTGCCGCTATTAATTGAAACAGTGCGTGTTGATTGATGAGCAGTTGGTGCTTACCATAGTGCTTAGTAAGGAAACTGGTTCCGATCTCAGGATGAATAAATTAACGACAGTTAAGCTCTTGACAAATTTTCTTACAAATACTACTCCCGGTTTTTAATATAAAAATTGGTTTGACTTTTATTTTTGTCCTAAATATAAGACCTTAATTCACTTTATCTCTTATATTTATCATTATTTTTTAAGGTAGTCCTTATAACGATGATAGTTTTAACCAGTACACTTGATTAGTAAAGATATTATTTATCACAAATAATTAACTTAACTAGTTTTCTGAATTTATTCAAATTAGTCAATTAACTCTTATATTAAAAAACAGATGTAGTAAATTATAAATATTGGTCTAGACAGTTGCAAATTTAGAAGTTTTAATTGTTAATAAGGCATTCAAATTTTAAATGTAAATTTTACTTTGCAATTAGATTCTTGTCCTTGTTTGTAATTAGATATTTGTAACTTATTTTTCAGAAAACTTTTCGGAAGTCTAAATGCTGTTAATTCATTATTTAACGACTTAAATTTTACTTTGCAATAAGAAATACCACTGGAACAGAAGGAAAAAATCACATCAGAGGGAAACCTAGTATCCTATGCTGTTGAGTGTTGCTGGTGGCTTTCTGTAGTGACCTGATGCACGCGGAGCCTAAAGGTGCATGATTGAAGATGCAGATTTCTCTTTCTTTTGGCTTTGATCAAACCCTATCTCCTCAAGTATTTCATTAAGTTTTTACCAAAGTTGATCTAACTTTGAATCATGAAAAAATTTTCCATTAAATTTCATGTAAGAAAAATAAATACAAATAGATTCTCAATGTCATTTAATACTAATAATTCTTAAGAAATTTAATATTTATGCACAAAGTTTTCATGCTTACAAGTTAAGCTGCGTCATTAAGGCAAGATCACCAACTTTGTTAGATGTGATTTTCCCTTGGTAAGCCCCTTTTCCTATATGCTCTCCTTTCTCATGTGTGGCTGCAAAATGAGGGTCATGTAAGTGTTTGTTGCAATTTGCTGGGCGGTAACTTTAGTATTCATTATGTAACAGCCATGGAAGCTTTTCAAAGCCTGGGACAATTGGTGTCTGATTCATATATTTGTAGTGTGCCGTATTGAAAACATTTCTTGTTCCTTTCGCCCTTTACCACAGCTATTCAGCTTGTCTTAATTGGATCTGACAAACACCTTACTCTCATAGACATTTACACATAGAGAGAGATAGATGAAAAATGTACAACCTCCAATTTAGGACAGGAGGTTGTACTCCCCTGGTCCTAAATGTAAGACCCGTATACTAGAGTGTATAAAGGTCTTACATTTAGGACCGGAGGAGTAGTATTTATGACAAGTGATATCCAAAACAAAGTATCAGATATGGTTTAAGAGTGTTTAACAACTCCAAAAAGCATTTAAAAAAATACTATCACAAAAATTGAAACAAAACTCTTCTCCTGTACATATTTTGTATGCTAAAATCACTTTTAAAAAATTAACCCTAAACTCTCTAAAAATGCAAATATGAATGCGTACATGAAGAAGCTTATGTGAGATAGAGAATTCCTCTACAACTTTTGGAATCATTTCTACTTTCTCTTTTTTGGAGTCAGTAAACAAACTGCTGGAAACCACTTATACAAACATAATATAAATGTAGACCAGGTTCTGCATAAATCAGATTCCCTTTTCAGTACAAGATGATAAAGATGCATATAGCAAGGGCATGACAAAATGAGAATAAGAAACAAACAATCGACATGTACATAGTATGGATATAACAAATCAAATAAAAAAGGCAAATAATGGGATACACAAAAAAGTAACTTAAAACAAAAGAAATAAATATTGTGAGCATAATAAAAAATCAGATAATATATAGGAGACAAATGCTGTTGGCATAACAAGACCAAATCAAACATACTATTGACAAAACAGAATGAAATGAAAGAGGCAAATACTAAGAGAACAGTAAAACCCAATAAATACATTAGACAAATACTGTTGGTATAACAAAACTAAATAATGTACTACCTTCGGTCCTTTATATAAAAGCTAGTTTTGAGTAAATTAAAAAAAATTGTTAAGTTAGTTATTTATAATAAACAGGTTGTGTCTTTCTCAGCATATTCTTGTTAATCATGTTTATTAACTAGAACTACCATTTGATAAAACATTTAATATGTGCAACCATTACAAACACTACTCTGAAAAAATGAATAAATATGAAAAACAAAGGGAATTGATATTTTATATTTAAAACCAAATTAAAAATCAAATTAGCACTTACATTAAGGATTGGAGGTAATATAGAAGACAAATATTGTGTTAGCGCAACAAAATTAGGAAATGTACATAAGACAGTTACCATGGAAACAACAAAACCATATAATGTACATGGCGTCACTTTTGTGTCCATGAAACCTGCAGAATGAAAGCGACCATGGGACATTGTAAACACAAAATCTCAGAGGAAGAAACTGCAATCTCTTCGAAGAAGAAAAGACAGCATGGTGCATAGGCTTGAACTTCCCCAAAGAATGGCACATGGAGACATTATTCAGAGACATCACATGCATTTTCCCCTGCTTTACTACTTATTGCAGGAGGAAGCTGTGGGAAAATCAGAACCACAAGAACACAAGCAGAACCTTTCGCTCCTATTTTGACTGTGAGTTTTGTCTTTTTATTAAAAATAATAATGTGTCTTCTCTATCTTGATATAGCACAACAGTCATGCTAGTGTCTTCTCCAACTGAGCTTCCAAACTGGATAATAGTAATTAAGACCTAGCACAAGGCTACCAGCATTCAAACTTGGCTATATAATGACAGCAGATTTGATCAGAAAGACTATCAGCATCATGAAAGTAGGAATAAAAGTTGTCAATAACACACATACAACAATAGAACTATGTACTTTACTTAAAATAGCAGAAAGGAAAAGGAAAAGCCTCACGCTTAAACAGTTTCAACTGAGAAGTTTCTTACCAGAATAGCACTTGATTCAATTTCCATCTCTTGCGTTCCATGTCACGTTGTCACTTTGTTTCTCTGTGTTGATGTGTTCTGGATGTACTCATCTTGGACAACAACTGACAGGAAGAGTTTTTGAAAACTTTACTATGAATAAGCTTCTAAGGCCAGAATAACTTTGTTAAGGGCAAATTTCTCTTAGTATTCAGCATGCTGATAGGAAAAAAGCAAAACAAATAGCCCATAAATTAGAGCCATATGATCCAAACTAGTTCCACCACAACAATTCTAGTGACAAACGAACCAGATATAAGAACATTGTACAATGACCAAGCATGAAAGCATTGTTTGCCACTTCAAATCAAAATCAGCATTCCTGCACGCAAATAAGATTTACTTATTTGTTGCAACCAAGCCAAGACTTTGTTCTCGACAATTAAAGAATAAAAAATGGTTTCAGAATTCTTCTTAATTAAAAAAAAAAAGGAAACAATTGGGCCAAAGTGTATGTAACTGATCATGGTAACTTTCTGCTGCTCTCATCCATAACTCTTCTCATCTGAACGTGGAGGTTAAGAAGAATTAACAGTTCTACCATCGGCAAGCTGCACTTTTCCTTTCCAGTTTCATTCCATCCTCTTCATAAATTTACCTGCAAGACATGACAGACTGAACATTATACAATATACATGTAAGTTGTGCTACGAATACATGCAAATTTAATTACCAAGAGACAATATAAACTAAGAAAGAGGGAATGGATTAAAAATTTAAAATTTTCAATTACAAGTGTCGATATCTCATTTTTTTCCCCCACACATGGTTCTTCAATATGACAGCACAAAATCGTGAGTGTGAGTATTCTCTAAATTCACCTGCAGTTATTGTTATTCTTCCTTGAGATCTTCCCAATTTTCCGCCAAACCTTGTGTTATTATTTCAGATTCATCAGGTATGAAATCATAAATAAGATCTAGTAGAAAATATAATATCATCTTTTATTATATTATTGACAGGGCAGAACTATGGAAACAGAGGCAAGAAGTCCTCAGATAGGTCTCATGAGAGAGGGCATAGAAGGAATAAGCAAAGGTAAAAACTGATAAAGAAAATTTCCATCAGCATGCTCTTAACTGCTTAAGCCAAATAAAGAATCTCACAGAATGTTTACTCTACTGCATCACGTTCTTGGAATCCTTAAAGGAAATATGTAAATGACAGGAAAGGGGTAACTGCTATCTTTTAGGAAAAAGGACGGGGAGTAATATATCAAAAAGCAGTAAACTTACTTTTACGGGCAGTAATGATTTATTTAGCATCCAACCAACTTCAGACAGGGAAGCCAATTTCCTCATTCTCTAGAGACTGTTATTTTCAATGCCCAAGTTACTTCCAATAGGTCCTTTGGTACAGGCTGTAAGACAAAGCCAGAGAAAATTTTCTTGCAACAACCAGATAACAAGACCATATGACAAATGAAATAATTCCCAACAATCGTAATAAGATTATGCAGACCACCTACCCCAAACTTAAATTAGCGTCACAGTTATGTGGGCCAAATAGATGGATTGAAATTGATGGTTATCACTCATTAGCTTAGGCTTCAAAGACAAGTGTACTTTTCATCTCGCAAAAGACAAGTTTACTGATAATTTGACATACATACAATTTCTGTCCCAACAGTCCCAACACCAGGTGAAATGAGCACCCCTCACAGACCAAGCAACACATAATGAAGTTTCATAACAGAAACGATCTGGATTCAATTTTTAACACTGACAATAATTAGAAATGAGAAGATTAAGAAAATGACGGCGTACCACACTCAAGCTAGATAAAAAGGATGTACTATGTCAGTTGAGTGTTCTAAGATAGTGTAGTTTGGAAAAGAAATGGCTCCAAATATAGTAAGAAGACTTGGAACAACTTTGGTTTTTTCAATTTTAATATAGGTTGAAGAAACTTAAATCTACTTACCCATGACTTTCCCATGTGCTTAACTGTGCAATGCAGCACAGGTTGACAAAAATGCAAGCTAGTACCAGATCTGTTGCCTCCAAATTTTTGTAACATGACAAAGCAAGGTTTGTGCTGACTGTATCTTAAATTCTAGACGATAGTATATGTTTTAGGTATTTATTCCATCCACTTTCATAGTACAAATGTGTTATTTGGTGATAGAATACTCGGGAGATAAAGAAATTTTAGGAATAGATATTATTTCAAGTTATTTTACATATTTTCTGTTTAATATTATTATCTAGTTTGTTACAAGGAAAACCCTTCCTGACTTATTTTAGGAGAAATAAGAGACATACAAGTTAATCAGCATTTTTATTTATTTAATTTCTTCTTTTTTTACCGTTGTTTCAAGTTCAATTATGGTTGAGAGTTACTAAGGGTCAAATACGGATTCACAAGGTTGTTACAAGGATCCCAACATCTAGTCTGTCATTGTTGGGGTCAGTTTCTATGATCTTAGGGATTATCAACATTTTATGTACTTCTTTCAAATGTATTCCAGCTTTATAAATAGGCTGGTCATGTGAGAAGTTAAGGCATCGAGAAATAAATTGAGTTTTATTCCTTTTAGAGACTCTCCTTATGTATCTGGCAAGCAAGAATTCTAGAGTGAAATCCTTGCTCTATCTTCCCTATTAGAGTTGTTTTCTTTATTTTCTAAGAGTTTTGCGCCCTTATCATTTGCACATAATTTTCTAACATTTTAGCAAGAGTTAGTGAGTTTACCAAAGCTGAAGCTGCATGTTTCTGTTAAGTTGTATTTCATCCTCTCCGCACATTACCTGTAAGATATTACAAACAGAGCATTACACAATATACATGCAAGATGTTTGAAGAATGCTTGCAATTCAACTATGAAACAAATAGATCCTCAAAACTAGGGGGGAAAAAATATCAATTGTGCTAAAAGTATGTGCAAATTTAATTACCAAGTCAATGGAGACAGAGCAAAGAGAATGTCTTCAAAAATTTCAATTACAAAGACAGATTCTATCAAAGCATAAATACCCTTGGGAATCTTACAGGTTCTTATACATAATGCAGCATAAAGTTTGATCATTCACTCTATTTGGTTGCAGTTATTGTTTTCTTCCTTCTTGCTCTTCCCCCTACCCCCATCCTTCCATTATTATTTTAGACTTTATCATATCCAGATATGGAATTTCTCCTCAATATGAATTAATGGAGTCTCAAATATATATATCTTTCTTAATAATTATCATCGTAGCAGAGCTTGCAAAACAGTGGCAAGAAGCCCTCAGATAGCTCTCACTAGAAATGGAAGAGCAAGAGGGAACCTGAAAGCTAAAAGTTGACAAAGAAAAACTCCCTACAGAAAGTTTATTGACTGTTCAGACCAAATATTGAATCAAGTAGAATTCAGACACCACCGCACCCCATCTTGGAAACCTTAAAGAATATATATTAAATGAAAAACACAGGATTTTTGTCCATTAAGCAATAAAATTAGCCTGATTCCTATGGAAAGAAGACTGGGAGTAGCACATCAGCACAACATCAGATACAGTAAACTCTTTCATTTCATATTACTGATTTATTTAGTGTCCAGCCCAAATTTAGACTGGGAAGTCAATTTTCTTGATTCCGAAGAGAGTGTTTTCTTCCACTTCCAAGTTACTTCCTGCGGCTCCTTTGGTCAAGGCTACAAGAATGTCATTGAAAGTTTCCTTGAAACAACATGATGACACATTTCACCATAAACAGAGCCCATATAATGAGTGCATACTAGATGAATTGGAAATTAAGGTCCTTCCTCAAGCTATAATGACAATCATACTCATAGGACGGCCTACGGACAGTCCCAAGACTGGGTGAAACGAACAACCCCTCACTGAAGAAGTAATGCATGACAGTGAGCTTTCAAAATGAAAAATTCTAGATTTAGTTTGACCTGATTATAATTAGAAATGAGCACAATAGATCAAGAATGTTGTGCCACGCTCAAGCTGGGAAAAGGGATCCATTATGCCAGTTGAATGTTCAGCTCTAATGTAATTTGTATAAGGAAATGGCAACAAATTCGGTAAAGAGGCTTGTAACAGCTTTGCTTCTTTTTTCCCTCACTTTTAATGGATTGCGTGGTTGTAAGAAACTTAAACTTTACTTATCTCCCGATTTCCATCTTCTTAACTCTGTAGCATAGCGCAGGTTTACTAAAACACAGACTGATAGCAGATTTGATCCCTCCACAGCTGTGAAACTTGACAAAGCAAGAGGCATGTTGCCGATATCTTAAACACTAGACGATATATTATACTTTAGGTATTTATGCCATCCACTTACAAAGTCTAGACATATGGAAAAGAAAAAACCAGACAATTTTCCTATTACTGTTACTGATTGATTCGATAACCAATATAATTCAAACGTGCCAATTTTAACCGGGGGGGAAAACCTCCATACAGATAGGTTTTTGTTATGGCCAAAAGAAGCTTCAGACGGGTAACCCATTCTCCTGAATCCCAATAGAGTCACTTTCTCCCATGTCAAAGTTACTTGTTGCTGTCTGACGTGTATGAATCTGTAGAATCATGCCACCAAGGCATTGAATAATTTCTTGAAACAATCTGATTGTTGGCCCAACCGCCAAGAAAGCCCATATGATGGATGCAGCCAAACCCAGGAACAGCGTCAAGATGAAGAGAAGTAGAACAACAAGAAGAAGTCCAAACAGAGGAGTAAATTGCTTCATGATAGCAAGGTAATTAGATTGATTTTGAAGTTTTAATTCCGCCATCAAACACATAACATACAAGAATAGCATCACAAAAACGGCTCTTATGATGTTTCCATGCTTATCAAACAGGGACAAATTCTTAGATTGAAATTGAAATTGCACATAACCACCTACGGTAGTAATCAGAGAAATTATGACAACATGTAACACTGCAAAAGATTCCCCTTGTCGCCGGTTGAAACTGCAGCCGCAAAAAATAAGTAATAAATAAACTAAATTAGCATAATAAAGTAGCAATAACAATAATAGGAAGAAACCACGCAAATAGTGGAAATCGGAGATGAAATTTGTTTAGTTGAAATTAATAAGAAGAACGGAATACAATGACTGGGTAGTGCTGATTAAACCAAAATAATGGGAATAATAGATGTAAAGTTAATTAGGTGTGGTAAAACCTTTGTGGAGAGCTAAAACTAGGTGGAGCTAGAGGCATGTTGGCCGGCGTCGGGGATCTACGATGGTGGCAAGATCAAGGGTCCCAAAAACAGAAGAAAGAAAACTCACAAATGATGCGCTGACTTAGGAAGGGCCATGTGGTCGTCTATATATAGCGAAGGAAGTGGGAAGAGTGTAGGAGAAGTGGGGAGCAGAAATATTAAAAAAGGAAAAGCGACTATTACTTTTACTTTTGCCGCAGGACGCGGGTGGACGACACCTCGCTGCCTTCCTTAGCTTCCTTTACCCAACGTTGCCGTTTTGGGTGTAAAAAGTGGGGTCCCCAACTTCTCATTGCCTTTTTTTTTGAATTTTTTTTTCATGCAGCGCCTATTATCTTAAAATGAATTTTGACGCACTCAGTAAGATAGAGCATTTCTTTCAAGAGCACCTCGTATGGTAAACAAATTTTTAAAACACTCAGCATCCTAAAATATCTTTTAGTAGTATGCTACAATAATTTTTGGTATACTTAACATCTTAAAATATTTTTTTAAGTAGTACCCAATATCTTAAGATAATTTTTAGTACACTCAGTAGTGCATTCAGCATACTGGAATATCTTTTCAGAAGTATCTAATATCCTAAAATAATGTTTGATATACTCAACATTATAAAATATTTTTCTAGTAACATGCAACATGATAGTTGTTTTTACCTTAAAAGCATTTTTGAAGTAAGCACTTAATGTCCTAGATTTAGTGCTCGTTGCTAAGAAATATATTTGAAGATATTAGGTATTACTGAAAAAATATTCTAGGATACTAATTGTAACAAAAAATACTTTAAAATACAAAGCGCTCCTAAAATAAATATGGGAAAACCATATTAAAGGTACCTATACTTTCTCTCAATTTTTAATTTGGTACCTATGTGTTTTTTTCCCTTTAATTAAACATTTAATTTTATCTTTTTGGCAACATTAGCTCTTATAACTTTGTTCTATTGATATTTTTAGTCTCTACATAAGGATTAATGATGTTAATAGAGGAAAAATAAAGATTTATTTAAGGACAAAAAACACATAGGTACCAAATTAAAAATTGAAAAAAAGTATAGGTACCTCCAATATAGTTTTCCCAATAAATATTCTAGCTTGCTAATTGTGTCAAAATTATTTTAAAATATTGCGTGACATATAAAAAAAATACTTTAAGATACAAAAAAAAAAAAAAAGAAAAAGATAGATCCCTTCTTTTTGCACCAAAAACTGCAGTATTTTGGGTAGAGGAGGGCCGTGGGCTGGACATGGCAGCAAAGTGAAGCCAGCTCCTCGTGAGCATTGTTAAGTTGGAATAAATAAAAAGAAAATTACGATTAGATCCCACCTAAGGGAATTAGATACAAAAAAATCCTTTAAAATAACAAAATTATCCTGAAATCTTAAGGCACTTTTTTGTAATAAATTTTATTTGTTTAATTATCAAGCTATCTTTTTTTTTTAAAACTTACATCGACAATTGAAAGAGCAGTCGTTGACAACTTAAGGTGTAAGGATTGACAATTATTGTGGCAGATATTAACAAGACAATTTCTCAGCACATCGCAAAATGTAATGTATTAGTTGTCAATATCTGCCGTGTCAGTTGTCAATATCTGCCGTGTCAGAATAATTAAATGATTTCAAGAGATTATTTTGTATTTAATTATCTTAGGTGAGACCCAATTGCAATGTTCTCTTAAAGGAAAGCCAGCGCTGTAAGGCGGAGGCCTTTAAGTTTGCATGCAGTTAGTTAATAATAAATGCTAGTTAAGTTAAGTAAGTCATTAAATTTGTTTCAAATAGATAAAAGTTACCTTTGGCCGAAAAAAAAAAAAGATACAAGTTACCTATTTTATTTTTTTATTAAAAATGTAATTAAAAATTCTCTTTTATTTCTCCTGCAATCAAAACTCTCTTTTCTTTGCGGCAAGGATGAAAAGTGAAAAATTATTATTAATTATTATGTCAATTTTTTGTATTTTGAACTAAAAATTTTTTAAATTAACTTCTTATACTCCCTCCGTTCCTTATTATAAGAGACAAATAACCGAAGTATGTTGATCAAAAAAACAGTTAAAATTAGTTAAGAACAATTAATGTATAAAAAGTATAATTTTTTTTCCAAAAATGCCCTCATTAATAAGGAGAGAGAGCATGAGAGAGAACAATTAAATTATTAAAAAAAAAAGAGAAGTGGGAGGGAGAGAGAGTGTGAGTTGAAGATAATAAATATGGGTAAAATAGTAAATCAACACAAAAAAGTAGAGACAACTTGTAAGTGTCTCTTATATATAGGAACATGCCATAAGCATCAAATGTCTCTTATAATAAGGAACGGAGGGAGTATTATGGATCAGGAAGTACCGTTATCTCCCACCTTCAATATATTACCTCCCGCTTACAATATACTCCTCCGGTCCTAATTATAAGACCCAATTGACTTATTTGAGGAGATTAAGGAAGTAAGTTAAGTTGGTTATTTATAATAAATAAGTGTTGTTATTCCTAAAATATCCTTGCTAATTAAATATATTGGCTAAAATTATCATTATTAGAAGGATTATCTTGGAAAAAAATGCATAAATATAAGAGAGAAAATGGATTGGGTCTTATAATTAAGACCAAATAAAAAGTCAAATTGGGTTTTATAATAAGGATCGGAGGAGTAAGATCTAGCTCAAATCCCAACAAGAAAGCCCGCTCTTAAGGCCAATAGTCGTTTAATAAGTTGCATGTTATTATCTTTGATACTTAATATAATACTTACTATAAGATCTAATTAGTAAATTAGTGTGAGGTTGTTGTTGTGCTGTCATCCCACTATTCAGTTACCGGTTCAAAACCTCTCATCTTCTCTTCTCCACTTTTTCCTTTTTCTAACGCTTAGATTAATATTTCAATGGTTAAGATTTAAATCTTTTTAAAACTATTATTTAAATATTAAATTATAAAAATAAATAATAAATTACAAACTATTAAAATTAATTCTAATGATTTGTAAATACACTAAATATTTTTAAAAATTTTGTTATAAATAGTTTGTAAAAAATTAAAATCTGAACTGTTAAAATATGTTAATCTAATGGTTAAAAAAAAAAAAAAGATAGAAAGAGAAGAAAAGAGGTTCCCGAACGATTCAGCACACCCCCCACTCCACAATTCGCACTTCCCCATCTCTACCTCTACCATTGGCACACCGTTTAATTTTAAAATTTTCCCTATGACGGGCATCTCCAAATTTAATTTTTTAAAAGCTAAAATATACTTCTAATCCTTTAAATTTGCACAAAATTCACTTTTAGCCCTTTAAGTTTAAAAAAGGTATCTTTAGTCCTATAAATTTAACACTGTTAATTCCACAAACAGAAAAATGTTGAATTGGCAAATTTAAAATGCTGACTCAATAATTCAATTTTGACATGCTTAAATTTAAATTTTTTTAATATAATTGCTTTTATATGTTAAAAATAAAATCAACCAAAGACAAATTAAGAAAGGGAAAACTATATTGGAAGTACCTATACTTTCTCTCAATTTTTAATTTGGTACCTATGTGTTTTTTTCCCTTTAATTAAACATTTAATTTTATCTTTTTAACAACATTAGCTCTTATAACTTTGTTCTATTAATATTTTTAGTCTCTATATAAGGATTAATGATGTTAATAGAGGAAAAATAAAGATTTAGTTAAGAACAAAAAACACATAGGTACTAAATTGAAAAATGAAAAAAAGTATAGGTACCTCCAATATGGTTTTCCCATTAAGAAAGGCTATATGTCTATTTCTCTTTCACTCTCTACATATCTCTACCCTCTCTCTCCTTCTCCTCACCTCATCCTTCCATTTGTCCTTCACCTTCGGTCTTGAGGCTGTAGCATTGATTACCTTGTGAGCCGCAAGATTTGAACCTACACCATCGATCAAGGAGGCAATGGCTTTGGCTACTTCAATGAGTCACAAGATCTGAAAGCAATCATGGGTTTGATGCTTTCTCTATGAATTCTGACTTTGAGATGGAAGACTCGGCAGCCATCAGTGACACTGCTAACCCTCGGCGTCGCACAAAGTTGTGAGAAGGCATTTGTTGCAATGGCTCAGATAGCTCAAAATTAGCTGCTCTCTTAAATCAATGGTCACCATTCGTTGCTTCTTCGCAACCATGGAAAGTTGTAACTTCAAACCGCGGTTTTAAAAGTATTTTTTTGTGAAGTAATCTCCTCCACATATTTACTTCATAATCTGTAAAAGCACTTCTGAAACCATGGTTTTGTTTTTATCCAAACACCCCGATTCATCTATTTGATGTTTCTAAGCTTAGGTAAAAGCAGCATACAGTGTCGCAAGATATCCTAGAATTAGTTTCAAGCTCTACGAAAATTCCGCTAATACGTAAGCTAGCTCATCAAGTGCCCCTTCTATGATGCTATTTATGTCAATGATGGCTACGAAATCCACCACTATAATTCCAGTGTTTGGGCTTCAACTTCTCCTATTCAAAACATTTGTCATGTCAAAGCAGCCAAAACTGGATTCTTAAGGTAAATAACTTCTCTCGCAGGTTTTTCTTTTGGGAATTTCTCAGGTATTGGATTGGTTAATCTTTTTGGCCGTAGTCCACTCAAGATGAATTGATGGATGATTTAAGTTTGGTGAACTAAGTTTCATAGTACATTAATATATTGTTAATCTTTGGTTGCTGAAAATGCTGACAAATTCTCGCTCATTGATGAGAAGGAGATTCTTGTTTAACACTATATTTTGTTGCTTTATGGTTTTGTCCCTTCATATTTTAATTGCTGCTCATTTGGCTACTATCACTGATACAATGAAGGCATATTGTGGGAAAAACTTTCCAAGAGTTGAACATGTATTTTTGAAAGTCAAAAACGAAATAGATAAGAAATATTTTTTAATTTTTATAAAACAAGTGAAGTTAATAATTATACTATTTTGTTGGGAACCTATCAACTTTTAACTTTAAAAGTAGTATAAGGGTTTATTGAACTTGTTGGCAGTATAAGAGGGTGTGATGATGGATTTTGAGACTCAAAATATTTGTGCTAAAATAGTACAAGGGTTTATTGAACTTGTCAGTGGCAATATTGAACCAGGTACTTCCAAATTCTTGTTGGTATATATGTTTTCATTATTTGTCCTACTCATCCTTTTAATATCTAAATAGAAGTTATGGGTACGGTACATTTGAAGGATTCTTGCAAGGTCTTCTTGAAGTTAGATTGTGCAACATATTATACATTTTATCAAACACTGTGACAAACATTTAACCATCCCAAATTGATATTTGAATATATAGGCACTAATTACATATGGACCTAAGCATAACTAACTTCTTTAAACAAATAAATAAGAACAGAACAATCTAAAACCACCACATAATTGCTAAATCAGTAGCCGCCGCCACACAATATTTTTGCAAACACCTTATCCCCGGACTATATACACTTATTATATACGCATAGATGGGCAGTACTGCTATGTCACATAGGAAATTTGGACATGCCAAATGGAACTTTTTTTTGGTGGAGAAGATTTCTTTTCTAGGCTATTAGTATGTTCTAATATGACCTTCAGTTTATAATCTTTGTACTTACTGGGTAATTAATAAAAAAAAATTTAGGAGAAAAGATACCAAAAGGTGAATCAAAAAGAGGCCAAAGGCAAACAAGAAGGGATCCCCATTGTCGCCACAAGAGCAAACCCCGCTGACATGGATGAAATCAAAGAACAAAACGTACTTATCCCATAAAATAAAAGAAAAGGGACGTACTAGACTTCTATTTGTAGAGGAGAGTTATCAAAGTTTTAGAACAATTGGAGTCATTTAAGTCATAGAACAATGGAGACAAGGGCTGCTGAGATATTTCTCTTTTACTCTTTTTAAATTCAAAATGATGGAGGTTTTGAATATTGACATAACTTTGAAAATTCATTAGTTTTTTAATTGTTTTTCCAATTTAGACATTTTAAATTTCATATTAATATGTCAGCATTAAATTGTTGAGTCGGCATTTTTAATTTGCAAAATCAACATTTTTCGTTAGTTCCACTAATGGTGTTAAGTTTATAGGATTAAAAATACCCTTTCCAAACATAAAAGGACTAAAAATGAACTTTGTATAAACTTAACAGATCTTTATCATTTTTTTTGAATTTGTACTTTATCTTTAAATAGTAAAAAAATCCCTTGGAGGGAAAAAAAAAATTAATGGACGAGCTCCCTTTTTTCTTTCCCCGGAAATTTGAAAAGCTAACTAGCGTCTTATACCGACACAACAAGCTCGAACCATCAGCCAAAAGGAGATCAGTATGACGCTTAAGGGGTTCACAAATGAACACCGGTCGGGATGAAAAGCAAGACAGTCTCGCATGGCAACTCAACGCTTTCTTCACCAAAATGTCATCTGCCTCGTTTGTATCCCTAGAACGGAGCAGAATTGAGACCGACCAATCTCTGTTTGTCATGCCCCGTATTTCCTCTGCGGGGCATTCTCATTACTCACTAGACAATCCATGTGTATCCATTTAACGGCCATAGCTTAACCACTCTCCACTTCAACCTTTCGTAATCCTTTGTCCCAGGCCAGCTTTAGCGCCTAAAGGATACCATCTCCGTTTCTTATTATAAAAGTTTAATTAATTTTTAATTTGATTATAAATATAAGATTCTAATTCTTTTTTTTAACATTTATTTATTTTTTAAGTAGCCATTGTAGTAGTTTCATATTTTAAATGTTTTATTAAATAATAATTATAGCTAATATACATGATTAGTGAGAATATTTTAAAAAAGACAATACCTATTTATAATAAATAATTAATTTAATTAAATTTTTTATTCTCTTTAAATTAATTAACTAAATCTTATATTAAGATCTCACGGTAGTATTATTGCCCCCAACACCCAAATTTATCATGAAACCGCTCTCTGTTGGTCCCACATGGTTACAAAGGATTCCGCCATATGCTATCTGATCCGAGTACCCGCTCCAAGCTCTATCCACGTTGATCTTCATCCTTGAAATCAATCCTGCGTTTGTTGGCCCACTTCCTTGTTTATGACGACTGCTGAGTCCTAACCACTGCCCCACGCGGGCGCACCCTAGACTAAAGTTCCCACGTTTGCTTCTCCGTCGTTGGAAGGTACATTAATCGCTGAATAAATGTTGGCAAAAAAATAAACTTTTTTTCCCCACTGGAAGGAGTTTTTGGAAAAATAAATAAATAAAATTTATGTTTTTAAAGACTAATTTATGCAAAATAACTATATTTTTGAAGGATTTCAATTTGAACCAACAATTTGATTTGGTTTAGTTTTAGACATTTAAACATTAATTTGACACTTTAGCTTGCCATTATTTATTATTTTAATTAAAAATTTTATTTTGTAAATGTTTAAAGCTTGATAATTGGAAAGAAATATATGCCTTGCAACGGTGAAAGAATAATAAACATTCGATTTAGAATTTTTTTAAAAGAATGGTAGCTAATTTTCTTAGCATTGTGTCTTGATGTTGATATTGCTAATTTGTGACTTAAATTTGATAATATTTCGTTTTCTTAAAATTAAGAATTTTATTATATTATTTTTATTTCTTCAAAAAAGGCCAAAACATAATGAACTTTGATTAAACGGCCTCAAAGCCTATAGGACAACCCTAAACGAGCAGGTTTATGGGCAAGTTTCACAAATAGGGCAGCCTCATGAAAGGTGGACTGTTGGGCCTGCTTGATTCAGACCTAAGCCCATCAAGAGCCCACTTGTTTTCGGAACTCTGGTATCTTCTTAATTGAAGTCAGCGTTCTATAGTGTGCAAAATTATTTGTGCGGAAAAGAGAATGCGCATCATCTTTAATTCTTTGTTATCCACACGCACACAAAGCCCATAGTGTTGACTGCGGAATACGAGTGCCAGGCCTATTACAATGTGAGCCTCAATATTTCCTGGATTTAATTCGGCTGATGGTTGGCAAAACAAGATCTCCTTTCCTGTGGCATTTTGATATTTCAATTAAGCAAGAGAGTGGCTTAAAAAATTCCATTACAAGTGCACATATCTTTTTTTCTTTTTCTTTTTTTCCATTAGGAAGATTGCATCAAACACGAACCCCCTAGGAACCATACATGGTTCTTCAATGCCACAAAGCATAATGTCACGGGTTTGATTATTCTCTAAATTTATCTACAGCAAACAGCTATTGCCGTTCTTCCTCTGGATCTTTTCAATTTTTCCTCAATCCTTATTATTTCAGACTTGATTATCATTTCTAAATATGACATTTTTGGTCACGTATAAATTCATAAAATCTAGTAGAAAATATGATATCATCTTTTATTGTTATCTCCTATTCTTAATATAAAAATTAGTTAGGAGTTGGATTCAATCTAAACATAAAATCTTAATTTACTTTGTCTTCCAAATTTATAATCTCCCCCAAAAAAATATCCATATTGATTGTAAAGGATTCTCACCAAGATGTAGTTTTAATGCACATGATTCAAACAAACAAACAACAAGCCTTATCCCATTAGGTGAGGTCGGCTACATGGATCACATAACGCCATTGTACTATGTCAACAACCCAGTCTTTAGATATGTTGTTGATCAGGAGGTCTCGTTCAATAATTTCATTGAGCGTTCTTCTCGATCTTTCTCTGTCCTTTTTTATGGGACTTCATATTGTCTTATCTACTCTCCTTATCGGGGCCTCCAATAGTCTTCTCTGTGCATGTCCAAACCATTTTAAGTGATGTTCAACTATTTTCTCTTGGATAGGTGCCACACTGATCCTTACTCTAATGTTTTCATTTTGAATTTTATCTTTTCTTGTATGACCACACATCCATCTCAAAATCCTCATTTTTAATGCACATGATTAAATAGGTTAATTTAGAAAAGTCAATACATATTTATTATAAATAACTAATTTAACTAATTTTTTTAATGCTCCTAGATTAGTTATCTAGCAAAAAAAGTAGTACATTATTGACATGACTGGAAACAGAGGCAAGAATCCTCAGATAGGTCTCATGGGAGAGGGCATTAAGAAGGAATAAGCAAAGCTAAAAACTGATCAAGAAAAATTCCCAGTGGCACAAAACAGAGATTAAAGGCCCAATAACAATTTTAAAAAATAAAAATATTCCATTGCTTGACAAAACAAAGAAAGTCTTCAACCATTAAACACCTCATGGCATAATGATTAATTCATTACAAGACGCTAATATTGAAAAAATCAAGGCATATGCTCCCCGATTCCTATCAATAAGAAAGAGATTTTCCTGAAGCTGCAATATGATGATCTTACTACACCAAAATCATCAGTTACAATCCAGCTGCAATATCATGCTGAATGTGTTTGAGAAGCACCGGAATAACAATGTCAGGTGAGCTCAGCTGCGGCAAATGGCCGTCTGATGACATAACCTCCACAATGGACTGACCGCCGAGGTGTTGATGAAGATACTCTGAAACCACCACCGGAACTGCCATATCCTTCATACTCTGTATAATATGGCAAGGTACTGTGACAAACCCCAGAATTTGCCTCATGTCACATTGATAAATTGTATGCAACACGCTTAGTGCTATGTCTGGCCTCATATTGAACAAGGTTCGGCTAAACTCTTGCACTGCCACAGATTCCATGTCTCCACCCACACATAGGGGGGCCCACCCCAAGCACCATGCTTTGTAATTGGACTTCATTGCATTGAATAATTGGTCCAAATCCTCCTGCTCAAATCCTCCATAGTAATCCGCATCATTCAAATACCTTGCTTAGACAGAAAATTCACAACTCTCAATTAGTGACTTCATTCAAATGTTGAGTTAGAGGGTGTTTGGCTTAGCTTTATGGAAGTGATTTTTCTGTTTACAAAGTACTTCTCTGGTCCTATTTATAGGACAAAGAGAAAAGATATTTTTTTTGTCCTATTTATAGGGGTAATTGAGAGAAATTTTTTGTATAGATATATAATTTTACCCTTCATTTATTATTGTGTTGACTTTGTTTATATGAGACATAATGCATATTGAATAGGGATAAAGTTGAAAACTTGTTGGATTTTAAATGAGAGTCAATGAAATTTAAGGTTTTTCTTGGTCTGTGTGAAACATGTAAAAAGTGACTTATAAGTAAGACCAAAAGAGTATGTAAGATGAGTTTTGTTTTGGTTTGCGTGAAAAAACTTCTGAAAAGCTCAAATAAACACCCCTTAAAGCATCAATAAGCAAGATCATGTTTAGATCGATTACCTAGGGGACGCGGAGAGCATGACGATCTTAGAGAAGATATCAGGGCGATAAACAGAAGCAATAACACCAATCATGGCAGAAACAGAGTGACCAACAAAGATGCAGGAATTGATTTGTAGCTCCTTCAAAATGGCAAGTAAATCATGTGCATAACCTTCTAGAGTTGAGTAACGTTCGAAATCGAAGTAGTCCGGGTTAGTGGTGCCGGCTCCCATGTTATCATAGAGAACAACTCGAAAATCCTCAAGAAGGTGAGGTACAAGGTGTTTCCACACTGATTGGTCAGTGCCAAAACCATGAGCCAAAACTATGAAACGCATGCCTGATCCCACAATCTTCACGTTGTGTGCTTCCTCCACAATTCCCATTTTCATTCTTTTTATCTTGCTATAACAATTTCCCCTTAACTTGGCTATATCATAATTGGGACGTTCCACCTATGAGGAAAGATGACTTCAGACTTAAAAGAGGATGATGAGGAATAAGCTGCACCACACCAGAGGCTAGGCCATTATTGTTATTGCTCTTCTGCAATTAATTAAAGCACTGCATTATTGAATAAATATACTTAAAGTCCAACCCAGAAAAATTAAGAATTATTGAATATATATCACTGTAAGAATTACAAACAATCAGAAGTTATTCAATGCATGTGAGGAACTGTGAATGCTTACCCAAAAAAACAAAAACAAAAAGAAAAATCCAAACATGAGATGTCATATAAACCACCTCCTCCAAAGGGGAAAAAGGCAGCCATAGTACATAAATATCCAAATAGAAACATCTCAAGTGCAATAGGAATACTTGATCAAAAGCTGAACTATTGCATGAAGTTGCACTATGTACGGATTTTCATAAAATCAGTTCAAGGTCATTGCAGATCCGGAACTTCATAGATGTCCTAATTTCTGAACAGCATTATCATAAATGGAGGCAATAACAGCACAAATCCCATCACTAACAGCATCGTAAGCATCGATCATATCGCCAATTTTGAGCATACTCCGAAAATCCTGATAATTACCTAACCTAATGAACTATAAAATTCACCAAATTTTGCATCGGTACCCAAAAAAAAATCATCAAAGTACGCCATTGACCTCTGTCTTTGTAAAAGTTCTAATAAATTCAACTTCCGAAATTCAAAACATTAGCTATAAAGATTAACATGGGACCCAATTTTGGCTTATTTTAAGGCCCTATACATATTTATGCCATAAAAATGTTAGAACTAAATCACACTAACAGAAGTAAAGAATTTGAGCACAACTCCATCATCTTGAAGTGAAAATGACAGCAGCAGCAACTTTTCCGATGTTCAGACTCTAAGCTAAACTTTGGGTGATCAACTGGCCAACTCTTGTACGTAAGAACCTCCATGTGAGGTTTAATAACATGACAAATTTCATCTTGACCCCTCCATTTGGATTCCCAGCTGCCCTGTTTCACTGCTTCTATAAAAATTTGGTATTCATGTTGCTGTTTAAATATTGCAGCCATTTTAAAACCTAACAAAATCAGCCAACATAGTACATGATCACAAGAATATGCATTCTTTGCTCCATTAGAACCAGAAAATTCAACGACAACGCACTACCAGTTTGCTTCGCAATTGGTCCCAATAGAACAGTTCGAATATTCAGACCCGAGTACGGAAACCAAAATTTCGAATGTCAGAAAGATGGAATTACCTCCCAAACAATGCACCGAACTGCTCCTTTTCTTCCCTTCAGCAAAACAATCCAAAATCAAACCGCCAACCCAATCTTCCCCCCACTTAAAGCTACAGAAAATATCACTTTATGAGAAACTAATGGGTGAAAAATGGATAGGGGGAAGTGTAGATAAATTTTTGGGAAGCAAACCTGGTGGCTAGGAGCCATTTTCAAATCCATGCAGGGAGATGAAACAGGCTCATTGTAGCAGCTGTCCTTCAAGTTTTTTCTATTCCTTTCTTGGTTATGAAGGAGAAAAGAAACAGGCCATCTATGATGGAAGCGGGCGGTTGACCAAAGAAACAATAAAATATAATTTGGTGGCGGAATATGCGATGGTATCGATCCACGATGTGTAAGGAAATATACTAATAAATACACATTTAAGAATAAATGTCCGCATATTATCAGAATATTTAAGTAGTTAACTAATCCCAAATAGGTTGAGAATTAATTAATCTTATGAGTTCCTTTTAACTCATAATTACATGACGAAGTTGGTCTGAAGACGCAACAAATAATCCATCGCATTATGAGTTCGGCAATCAAATCATCGGGCACGCTCACCCAAAAAAGACAGTTCAATTTCTTAGAATGTCTCAGCGCTTGGAATGACGTATTTGCAACCAGGTAAAGCATATATTAAGGGCTAGTTGACTAATTTAAGAAGATTAAGGAAATAAGTTAAGTTAGTTATTTGTAATAAATAGGTGTTGTCTTTTCTAAAATATTCTTACTAATCAAGTGTATTGGCTCGAGCTATCATTGTCAGAAGGACTACCTTAGAAGAAAATGTATAAATATGAGAGATAAAGTAGATTGAGATCTTATATTTAGGATCAAAATAAAAGTCAAACAAATATTATATTAAGGACCGGAGGTAGTAATTTAGAGTTAATTTCTTGGTCTAAACTTTCGTCACCATAAATGAAAAAAAGGCAACTAATGAATAGATAAAAACTTGTCATTACTAAGGTTAAAATCGTACTACCTCCGGTCCTTATTATAAGACCCCGTTTGACTTTTTGTTTGATCCTAATTATAAGACCCCAATCCATTTTGTCTCTCATATTTATGTATTTTTTTTCAAGATAATCCTTCTATTAATGATAGTTCTAGCCAATATACTTAATTAGTAAGGATATTTTAGGAATGACAATACTTATTTATTACAAATAACTAACTTAACTTACTTCCTTAATCTCCTCAAATAAGTCAACTGGATCTTATAATTAGGACCGGAGGTAGTATTAACTAAGGTTAAAATAGTGTTACTTAGCTATCAACAAACAGTCTGGCAGCATAAGGTCCCGCTAGATCCCCAAAGTATTACTTAGCTAGGTAATTTCAGTACTCATCATCAAAATCTGGATCATATGTATTTTGTATAATGTAAAATCAATTCTCTGCTATTAATTCAAATTATCACTTGTAATTCAGAATAAACTTTTTGCCTGGTACCGCTCCAATTTTAATTTTAAGCACAAAAGAGAGTAGCACTTAAGATGGTCTTACTAGAATATAACAAATGGATGAGCACATTTCAGGTTGAAAAGGAAAATCAAAACACAAATACCTTAAATCATGGGGCCAAAAATTTTGACACAATCATGGATTACAACTGAGAAAAAAACCTTATGCAATACTACCTCAATACTTAATATAAGAATTAGTTGAAAAATTTAAATAGATTAAGAAAGTTTGTTAAGTTAGTTTTAACATTTGATGAAATATTTAACATGTGCAACTACTACAAAGACTATCTTTAAAAAATGAATAAATATGAGAGACAAAGTAGATTGAAGTCTTATATTTAGGATCAAATTTAAAATCAAACTACTTTTCATATCAAGGGATGGAGATAGTATTTTAAAAATAAAATCAACCGGTTGTACCGGGAACAGGTCACTGGTCTAATTGGTATGTGCCCGCAAACTAAGTGAGGATCAGTCAAATACCTATTGGACTGATTCTGATTTGGACCCAAAAAAAGACAAAATAAAAAGGGAAAAACAATTTTTAAAAATGTTTTGGGCCCAGATTTGTAATTAGTTGATGTGCAGCTCAGCCTCATTTGATTGGCGACATTCCTTGTATTCGGAGGGGACTCCCCACCCCCTCATTTCGCGGGCGATGGCGGGCTTCACTGGGAGGGCGGGAGTGACTGAGTGAGCTGTAATCCAACCCAATCCGATTATTAGCCCTTAAATTAATATCTCATTCCATTTAATAATTGGTGGAAAAATAGAGGGGAAAAAAAGATGAGAGAGAAAATTTTAATACTCTTCTGATCCTTAATATATGACCTAATTGTTGAGTTAATTTTAATCCTAAATATAAAATCTATTTTTTATATTTATCAAGTTTTCCTACATTATTCCTATGGATATTCCCTTAATTATAATCAAATAGAAGAGGGAGAAAGGATATTAAAGAAGATGACTATGATATTTTAGAAAAAACCTGTCATATTTCTTATAATTAACTAACTTACCTAATTTCTTGAATCTAATCAAATTAGTTAAATAGGTCTTATATTAAGGACCAGAGGAGTATATTCAATTTAAAAAATAAAAAAGGATTATAAAATTTTATTAAAGAAAATGTGTAAAATGAAAGATTTAGAAAAATTAATTAAAAATTAACTCTATTTTCTCACTTTTTTAAAGCTAGTCCATTAAAAGTTTACCTCCCCTCCTCCATTTGTCTCATACTAAACAGGTTAAAGTGTTTGGATTTGCTATTTAGAAGTTATTTTATAGAGTTTGAAACAAGTGGCGAGAAAAATTTTGTTTCAATTTACATAAATACACTTTTTAAGTACTTCCAAACTCCCCCTAAATTCATCTGAGAGAATCCAAACTTCCCCCTTCACAGTTTGAATTTTGAAATCACCATCAGTAGTGATTCCCAATCGTTCTTTTCTTTTCTCCAATTTCCAATTTGTCTCCTATACCCAGCAGCTAACTGAATTCCACTTAAGAGTATTTGCCTCGTGTTAGCAATAGGAAACCAAAGTGTAAAGAGTGAGTTGAAAATAAGCGTACCTATAAGGAATAAAGCATTAATTTTTCCTTGGAAGTTCAAAATATGAGGTTAGATGTTTTTTTTTTTTTGCCCCCATCCTTTGTAATACATGAATACCTACGCATAAATTCCCATCAAATAGATACCAAACTAAAAAATTTTTTCGATACACAAACTAAAATATTCGATTAGATTTGAAATTCTAATAAATTACATTATCTAAGATAGTTCAAAATCATTTCTTATGATTTTTTTTTGGTTCATTCAAATGGGATTTGAATTAGAGTAGTGGAATTTAAAATAAACATGTGAGAATTCAAAATTAATTAATTATTCTATTTGAACCCCCAATTGACATACTATTTGATAATGATGCTTCCATTTTAATTCAATATATTCAAATTCCAATTAAAATATTATTTAAATTCAAAATTAATTGTTAATTTCTTCATTTGAGTTTCCAATTAAAATCTCATTTAATAATTATGCTCTCCATTTAATTTAATATATCCAAATCCCAATCAAAAAGTTATTCAAATATAATTAATTGAATATACTCAGATCTCATAATGTTATATCCGACCCGTTTTGAAATGAATTGGCTTTATAAGTTTTCAAAAATATGGTTAATAGTTGATAGTTGATAATTGATAGTTAATTAGATAGAGTCCCAATTATGCCTTCAATAACAATTGCTTATCCATTTTATCTAAACTAATGGCTTCCAATTGCTTCTATATATGATTTAACATGAGATCAGTTCACAAATACAAAGGGGAAAAATTAAGATGTGTTGATCATCAACAATCATCTGGATTGTTCCTCATAAGCCATGGCTAGTTGGGTATCAAAATATACATAATTACCTTCTTCCTCTTCCTCATCGTCTTCATTATCATCACCATCATCTTCATCATCACTATCAACAACTGGAACGAAGCCATTAACTGTGTTTAAACTGCTATGTCCTACAAGCTCATTAGCTTCATGCATTTCTTCTTCTGTTTTTGCCAGAGATAGTAGAATATTTTTTGCTTTTTGATCAGGATGAATTCCATTAGATTCCATTTCCTTAAACCAGAGAACAGCACTACCGAAGTCCCCATTTCTTCCATACGCATCCATGATTGTAGTTAAGATAGTTTCATTGGCCTTGATACCGCATCCAAGCATTTCCTCGTATTTCTCCACTACCTTGCCAAGATCATTCATCTTAGCATACCCTTTAATTAGGGCTCCATAAGTGACAACATTAGGCTTAAAACCATCATGTTTTAATCTCCTGAAAAACTTCTCAGCTCCCTCCATATCCGATGCATTCACATAAGCCGACAACATAGTAGTGTATGAGCAAAGATCAGGTGAATATCTGCATTGGAAAGGAGAAAAAAACATACAATGATGGCATAAGAGAAGCATGATCTATGTCATTCTCAACACAAACAGAATGGAATCTAATGGCCATGCATTTTTCTTGTTCAGTGTAACAATTGGAAAAACATCATACTACTTGCACCAGGAACCAGAGCATATGGCTCTGGAAAAACAACAGGCCATTTGCACCAGAAAAATATGCTGGCACCAGGTGACAGCATATAAGAGGATGTTATTTGTCAATGACTATCAGCCTGTCATTATGATCAAAGCAGAAATTAATTTTGACCAGACATCTCCCAAGAAAAAATTTCTCAAATACGACGGACGCCTTTGAGCATGAAACTCACATTAGCTTTCCTTCTCTACTGACAAAAATTACTAGGAAAGATAACTTTAGAGGATTTATGCTTTTAATTAAACAAAACTATCTTTCTATCTCACTTGTTTAAAATATAGAAACACGAATTTATAATATAAAAAAAGGCATTAAAGATTTCAACATTAGAGACACAATTTACCTATCCCTTCTCATGCTCTTGAACACAGTCCGAGCTTGCTCTACCATTCCCGATATTGAAAATGCATCAAGCAAAATATTATAAGCCTTTTGGGTTGGTCTGTGAAAAAGGATAGGATATTTAACGTTAAAATTGTTTTACTGAGCTGGAGAGTTTAGCAACTAAACCAGAAAATAACAGGAGAATTTTGTCGTCATAACATATATGCAGAAATCAACTGAAAAGTTGGTCACAATCTCTACACAAAAAAGAAAAAGTTTGTCACTAAAGGTATATTAACTGCATAGGCATGCAAGAT